ACACTGGAGAAGGAGACACCCCACTGCGGATGCCCGCTGCCGCCTGCCATGTCCTGGGTCTCCTCCTTCGGAAATGAGCCAGAAAGCTGCGCTGATGTCCAAGTCCCTGGGTCCAGCATCTGAAGGAAGGAGGGGGGGTGCTTGTGAGGGCTCCCTGGGCCTCCTTTCCCCTTCCCAACGGTGCTAGTCCCCGCAAACATCAAAGGACACGTGGCTTCTGATAAAAAAGCGAATGTCTACAGCCTGGGCCAAATGCCCAAAGTAGGGATCGGGCCAGGCGAGCTTGGAGGTAGGGATGGCCCAGTAGAGGCCAGGGCAAGACTCCCAAGACTCAAGTTTGGGCTTAGATCAGGCAGTTCTGGGGCCCAGCCCCCTCTGGCAGTTACCATTTGTGTCTCGGAAAATCCGTGTCCTGCGGGTAGGGCAGGGATGGAGGAAGTGCTGCCCTCTCGCGGCCGTCAGGAGGATTACAGAGGACCTGCTCTACCAGCGCCTCGCAGGGGCGCCCACGCCGGGCCAATCTGACTCCACCTCCCACCCCCACGCGCTCACTCGGCTTTGCCCCATACGGCTCAGCCACCCAGTTTCGTCCCCTTTGGCTCAGCCCCCACCCCGACCTCCCAAGCAGAATCCTCTCTGCGGTGTGCCAGGCCCAAGATGCCCGCGTGGGGAGTCAGCGGAGGTGGAATTGGATGCCCCCTTCTCTGCTGCAAATGCTGCGGCCTCTGGGCCCAGAATGGAGGACGGACAGGCGGGGGCTCCAGGGGTAACGCGGGCCTCCGCGCGGGAGGATGGAGCCCGCGGGTGCAGGTGAGGGATCTCGCCGCCAGGTGGCGCCAGGCAGGCTCCGACAGCGACTCCCGCTGCCTGTGGCGTCCAGGCTCCTCTGAGCCCAAGGGCTCTGCGTCTCCATCCCTGTGTCTCTGGCATTCTTCCTGCTGCCCGCTGGCTGCCCGGGGCCTGGGTACTAAGCTCCTGGCACAGCTCGGAGGCAGGGGCTAGCCCCTGGCACTGGAGGCCTGCCTCACTGATACGGGGAAGGGCGAACTGGGCTGACAACCCATCATCAGACTGTGACTTCAGCCATGCCACTCACCCTCTCTGGGCCTCCTCGCGTTGTCTTTGTTTACAAAGAACTTTATTCAGGTCTCCGGAAGCTGGCATTCCCCCCCCCCCCCCCCCCTGTATCACAGACAGAACCGGGACCAGCACAGGGTGGAGGAGAAGCTGGACCCTGTGCTCCGAGAGCCTGAGACTTGCTCTCTGCGGGAGGTGACTGATAGGACGGTGGACAGAGTCACGGGCAGAGTGGCCTTGCACACTCAGGAAGGTGCCGGGTACGAAGGGCCTGGTAGCCGGCAGAGTTTGGCCAGACGGTGACGGTCCTATGTTGTCCCTCAGCCTAGGGGTTAGGGCGGGGGGCTGGCTTTGCCCTGTCCCCCAGGAGGGTCCCATCCCCGTGACTTTCCCAGTGTCACCCAGACTCCGCCTCCTTCTCTCTTCTGGGCTTGAGAGAGCAAGGGGATGGGACTCATTCTCCCTAAGGGCTCTGCCCACGGCCCAGACAGCAGGAGAGAAGCCCAGCTCAGAGCTCCCATGGAGTGGGAGATGGATTTGGGGCTCACATCCCAGTACCCTCTGAGGGACTGTGGGAAACTCTTCGGACCTGAGACCCAGGGGGAATGTCCCCGTCGGGCCCTGGTTTCTGCCCCTCTACCACGGAGTGCCAGAGCTGGGCTTCTGGTCCTACTTGCCAATCACTTGTCAGTGGTCCACAGAGACAAAAAGCAACAGTACGACGATTGAGATTTCTTTGGAGAGCCAAATTTTCTAAACTTAAACTTCTTCTAACGCCACTTCTTCAACATAGACTCGCCCCAGGCCGTGGCATTTTGTGGAAGAGCCACCCTCGAGGGGCCAAAGGGCAGCATGAGGCTCAGAGCCCCGGTTTGCGGACCACAGACTTACTGCGTCGGCCATCGGCACACCAGCCCGGGAGAGGGGCGGGCGGCAGAGGCGGGAGCTGGGAGGAGCGCCTGGCCCCCGGCACCCAGGGCCTGAGAGCTTTGTGGGCAAGTGGCTGTTTCTCTCCCCTCTCTCAAAAAAAACAACAATAAATTAAAAACAAAACAGAACAGGCTCCAGGGACCCCAGCGGCTCCCGCGGCGGAGAGGCGCGGGGATGGATGTCCAGGCCCAGCCGCTCTGCAGCCCCGGAGTTAGGGGCCGGGGACATCCCAGGGGGCTTCTGGCGAGGACACAGGGCCTCAGGCAGGCAGGGACCGAAGGGTCACTTTGTCCAGTTCCGGCCTTCACACAGCAGCCTGGGGGAGGAAATGCTGACCCCTGCGTCCCTGAGGGGCGAGACAGACAGCCCCTGCTCAAAAGTGAGAGTCCGGTCACACTGAGGCCAGCCCAGATTCAGGAGGTCACTGTCCAGCAGTGAGGTCGGTGAGGTCAGTGTCCCAGCAGTGAGGTCAGTGTCCCAGCAGTGAGGTCGGTGAGGTCAGTGTCCAGCAGTGAGGTCAGTGTCCAGCAGTGAGGTCAGTGTCCAGCAGTGAGGTCAGTGAGGTCAGTGTCCAGCAGTGAGGTCAGTGAGGTCAGTGGTGTCCCAGCAGTGAGGTCAGTGAGGTCAGTGTCCCAGCAGTGAGGTCAGTGAGGTCGGTGAGGTCAGTGAGGTCAGTGAGGTCGGTGAGGTCAGTGAGGTCAGTGTCCCAGCAGTGAGGTCAGTGAGGTCGGTGAGGTCAGTGTCCAGCAGTGAGGTCAGTGAGGTCAGTGTCCCAGCAGTGAGGTCAGTGAGGTTGGTGAGGTCAGTGTCCCAGCAGTGAGGTTGGTGAGGTCAGTGTCCCAGCAGTGAGGTTGGTGAGGTCAGCGGTGTCCCAGCAGTGAGGTCAGTGAGGTCAGTGTCCCAGCAGTGAGGTTGGTGAGGTCAGTGTCCCAGCAGTGAGGTCAGTGTCCTGCAGGCCCGGTGGACAGCGGGGGCGATCTGGCTGGCTGTCTGGGGCAGGCTGGGCTGCCTCTCTGAGCTAGTTTGCGCATCTGTAAACCAGGCCTCACAGTGACTTCCTGGAACTCTCCAGAGGATTAAAAGAGGTTATATGCAGAGATATAAAGAGAAAGGGGTCGATTCTCACCCGCACCGCCCCAAAATGGCCAGGGAAGGCTCCCACAGCCCCGAGCCGAGCCCCGAGCCTGAAACCCCAGTCAGAGGAGCGGCCGGGCGGTGGGCACTCACTTTGTGCCAGATGCCAAACGCGTCTTCTTATTTAATCTTCAAATTAGGAGGTACTAATCCCCCTTTTTTTAGGGAGACACAGAGCTGTCTTCTCTCGGGCTGAGTGGGGCCGTGGGTGGAGATTAGGAAAGGGTATGGGCTTGGGGGAGACGCAGGCCAGTCTGGGGCCAGTTGTGGGCAGGCACTGCACTGGGCACGGGGCTCCAGGGGTGACAGATTGGGGGGTGGGGGGGACGGGGACGGGGAGGACACAGCCGGGAAGCAGACTCAGTTCCCAAACACGGACCTGTTTGCCAGCGCAGTGCCGCTCAGGGAAGGCTCCTGGGGGGTGCAGATCGGAGGGTGGAGGAGGGTGACCGTCTGGGGGGCAGGGAAGGTCTGAAGGGCGAGTAGGAGCCAGGGGGCGGATCAGGCTGCGGTGCAGAAGATTTGGGTGGAACAAGTTCAGACCCCAGGGAGGGGAGTGTGAGGGAACCACTGGGGGCTGAAGAGGGGTGAGCGGCGGGTTCGGACTCAGTGCAGGTGTGCGTGCCCTCCGCGTGGCCGCGGGCAGGGCAGGGCCTGTGGCAGGGCGGGCGCGGGGAGAGGGGGCTAATCCCACAGAGGAGCGGGCCCAGGGCTCGGTGAGGCCATCGAAGGGGGAGGGAGGGGTGTAAGGCGGCAGCGGCCTTGGGGGGCGGGGGCGGGGGGGGTGGAGGAGCAGGAACGAGCCAGGTCACTGGGAGCTCAGGCTGACCGCGAGGAGGACTCTGGCTCCAAGATGGAGGGGCCCGACATGGGAGCCGGGGTGGAGGGGTCGGGGGGGGGGGGGGGGGGGAGCAGCGGGAAGAGCAAGTAGACGCCAGGGCAGGAGGAGGGCCAAGGGCAGGCGGCCGGGCCGGTGTGCGCGGCGGGGTGTGCGGGGCGATGCGGGCTCAGGGAGGAGGGGGCGCCGGGCCCATGTGGCCTCCTCCGGGCGGCCCCCCGGGGGCTCTGCTGGGGCAGCCGCGGTGGCTGGGAAAGAGCCGGGTGCGGGGCTGGGGAGGAGGGGCGATGCGGTGCCCAGGCTCCTCCATCCGGCCCGGGACAGGAGCCCGGGTTCGAGTGGCTGCAGGACCCACCGGGCTTCCTCCCGCCCCCGCCCCGGCGCGCAGCCGGCTCTCATTACCTCCCCCCTCCTCCCCCTCCTCCTCCCCCTCCTCGGCCCGGGGTCCGGGCGGCCGCGCTAATCAATCCCAGGCCGGAAATTCCTCCCGGGGGGCCCTCCCCGGCCCGCCCCCCGCATCATGGAAACTGGGCCGCGGGCCCACCCCGCGCTCCCACCCCGGCCTCCGGGCGGGCGGGGCCGGGAGCGGGCGGCCTCCAGGCCGGTTCGCGGGGCTCCGCGGCCCCGGTGCCCCCTCGGCTCTGGGACAAGCACCCCCACCCCAGATGGGACGCATCTTAGGGAGTTAGGGCGCCCGGGGCACCCCGTTACCGCCCCTCGCCGGGAGCGCCGCAGGGGCATCCGGGCTGCGCCCCGCGGAGGACGCGGAGCGGACCCCGCGCCCATTTCACCGGAGAGGACGGCGCGGCGCGGAGGAGAGGCCGCCTCCTCCAGGCAGCCCCCCGGGGCGCCCCACGCGTCCTCTCTCGGCGCCGGGACTGGGGGGCTCCCGGAGGGCGGAGGGCGCCCCTGGGGCCTCTGCGAGCGGCCCCGGGCTTACCTGCACCCGGACCTGCGCTGGGTCCCCGCGGCGGGGCTGACGGTCCCGCGGGCTCCGGGGGCGGGGCCGGCGCGGGGCGGGGCGGGGCGGGGCCCACATTCGGGGAGACGCGGCAGTGCCCGGGCCCGGCGCGCGGACTGGGACCCGGACCGGACCGGACCGGACCCACGCCGGCGCGGCGGCGCCAGGTGAGCAGAACCAGGGTCCAGGGTTCGTCCCCCACTTTCCCCAACTTTCCGTGGGGCCCGCGCTCCGGAGGCCCGGGGGGGGGGGGGCGGAGTGTGGGCGGAGGCGGAGCGGGATGCGGAGCCGCGAACTTCCCGCCCCGGACCTTCCCGCGTCCGCGTCCCGGCCTCTGAGCTCCCCGCGCGACCCGCCCCCGAGCCCCGGCCCGGGCCCTGGGTGCCCCGTCTCCCTGGCCCTCCGGTCCCCCGCGGGCGCGGAGGGACCCTCCCGAGTTGGGTGCACTGGGCGGGGGCGCTCGGGCTGAGAGGGCCTCCGGCTCCTGCACCAGCGGGGCCGGCTGAGCGGGGCCGGGCCTGGAGCCCGGGCGGCGTGGCCGGTCCCCTCGGCCCAGTTGCTTCTGTGAGAACCGCGCTGCGGACGCGCACAGCTGCCCTCGGTGCCGCCCGGACTTGAGTTCCGCTTTCGGGGGCGGGATGGGCGTCCCGCTCGGAGCTTGGGGTGCGGATGGGGAGCGGGCGGGGTGGCCGGCCTCCTCCCCGGGGCCTCGGGGCGGGTTAGAGACCAGATCGGGGCTGTGAGGACGCCCCACCGGACCGCGAGGTCCCACCCTCCCCTCCTGCGGTCCCGGGGCGCCCGGGCGGGGTCCCCCTTTCTTCCCTCCCGTGGGGGCCATGCCACACGCAGCCCGCGGCTCCTGCCCCTCCAGCCCGGATCCAGCCCCCGGGCCGGGCCAGCAGCGGGAGGGGCTCAGCCGGCGGCCGGACCCGGGGCGGCCCGAGGCGCCGGGGCGGCGCTGCACCGTCCGTCCGGGACGCGGGCCACGGAGCCTCGGGCGGAGGAGGCGGAAAGGAGGCCAGGCGGCGGGAAAGGGGGTGAATCATCCGGAGGAGCCCGAATTGGAAACGCTGCAGCCTGGGACCCGGAGGGAGCCCCGGCCCAGGGAGCCCCGGACCGAGCCGAGCCCGGCCCGCAGCCCCTGCCTCCCGGCCCGCAGCCCGGCCGCGGGGGAGGGCGGCCTCTGCGCGGACCCGGAGATGCCGGGCCGGCAGCGCCGGTGGAGGGGAGGGCGGTCCTCCCGAGTCCCGCTCCAGTCTCTGCTGCTGCAGCGCCCAGGCTGGCCGCGGCCCGGGGCGTGAGGGGAGGCAGGAGGAGCTGGAATCGGCGCCCCCTCCCTGGGCTGCGGTCTGCGGAGCGCAGTGTGGGGAAGCGGGGCCCGCGGCCCCGGGCGGCGCCCCCCGCCCCCGCCTTACTCCGGAGCAGCCACGTGCGGGGCTGAGGTCCTGGAGACGCCGCGGCCGGGTTGCCACCCTCCCGAGCCGGGCCCGCAGGCGGGCGGAGAGGGGTCGGCGGGCGGCCAGCGCCCCGCGGCCGAGGATGCGCCGTGGAGCCGCCGGCGCCCCCTCCCTGCGCTCCGCCCGCAGGCGCGGCCAGCTCGGGCTTCTGCCGCGGCCCTGGCTCCGGCTCCGCTGCGGAAACCAGAGTGGGGGCGGCTCCCCGCGGGCAGCCCGGGGGAGGCCGCAGGGATCTCCACGCGTCCCGGGAGAGGCAGCCCGGCCTTCCCTCCTGGATCGGTGTCCCCGACTCAGCCCCTGCCTCCCGCTTCTCTCCGCAGAGCGCCCCGACGACGGCGGGATGACGGCCGGGAGCCCCGGAGACCGCGGGGAGGCGCGGAGGAGCCCCGAGGGCCGCGTCTCCCGCCTGGGCCGCCGGCTGGGCCGCCGCCGGCGCCCGCGCTCCCCTCCGGAGCCGCTGCGGGTGCGGGCGCGGCTGCGGCTGCGCTCGCCGTCGGGGGCGTTCGCGGCGCTGGGCGCGCTCGTGGTGCTGGTGGGCATGGGCGTCGCGGTGGCCGGCTACTGGCCGCACCGCGCCGGCGCCCCGGGGCCCCGAGCTGCCAACGCCAGCGCGCCCCCCGCGAGCGAGCTGCGGCGCGAGGGCCGCGGGGCCGGCCGCGCGCACGGCCCCCACGAGCGCATGCGGCTGCTCGGGCCGGTGGTCATGGGCGTCGGCCTGTTCGTGTTCATCTGCGCCAACACGCTGCTCTACGAGAACCGCGACCTGGAGACGAAGCGGCTCCGCCAGGACGCGCTGCGGGCCCAGGCGCTCCGGCCCCCCGACGGCCCCGGCTGGGACTGCGCCCTACTTCCCAGCCCCGGGCCCAGGACCCCCGGAGCCAGAGGCTGTGTGGAACCGGAGAGCTGGGACTTGTCCCCGCGCCGGGGCACCTCACCTGTCCCCTCGGTGCGGAGTCTGCGCTCAGAACCTGCGAATCCTCGCCTGGGGTTGCCTGCCCTGCTTCACAGTTACCCGCTGAAGGGCCCGGGGCTGCCCCGACCTTGGGGTCCGCGGACCCAGACCGGCCACGTGATTATCACCGTGCAGCCCTCGGGCTCCGGCATCGAACACTCCAAGTCTCTGGATCTGGGCCTCGGAGAGCTCCTGCTTGGGGCACCCGCGGCTCGGGACGGTGCGCACCGAAGCTGGCCCCGGCTGGACCGCCTCAGTCTGGAGGGGTACACCAAGCTGGGAGGCGGAGGGGGCTTTGGGGCTCCGGTTTGAGGAGTAGCATGGACCAGAGTCAAAGGACCAGGAGTCCCGACGTCTATTGATGCTTGTCACATCCCAGCCTGGGGCATGGATGCTCTGGCCCAGCAGCTGCTAAGGCATCCTGACTTGCATGTGGGCAGAGAAATGCCAACTGCACAGGGTTCGATAAGCTGGAAAGTGTTTTAATGTGAACTTGAGACCAGCATGACTCGGCCTCAGGAATTCCTTTAGCCTCCAAAGTGGCCTTAGCCCTGAACAGGTACCCGAGGAGGCTGGGAGTCCAGGCCAGGGCGACTGGGAGATGCACCTGGTGTCTTGGCAAACCCCAGTGGTGGGCAGGAACCCCTAAGACGTGGAGGTAGGTAGCGATGTTACAGGCTGGGACAGGGACCCTCCAGGGTGGCACTGGTGATGGGGTTTGGGCCTCCAGGAAGAGGGGCAATGGGGCACAGTGTGACCCGTCACTGCCATCTGGGATGGGGACTGAGCCTTTCACTCCCACCACCTCAATCCCTTTCTTCCCTCAGCCTCGCAGGGTACATCCTACTAGGGCTACAGACTGCCAGTGCCTCATGCTGAGGGGCCCTCCCAAGCAGGCCTGAGAAGCCCCTTCTCTCCTTGGCCTGGTCTATGCTGCAAAATCTCCCTTCACTGGGCAAAAGGCATTTGCCAATTCTCAGAAACCTTTTTATATAATATTGAAGCTGCGTTTTGGTCCAACGTGGGTAACTTACTTTTTAGCCAGAGGGGAAGATTACTTTAAAAATTGATCAGTCCTCACAAATTCAGTCCTTTTTTTTTAAGTTTATTGAAAAATGCAGTACAAGAAGCAAGACCAAACACGTCTAAACACTACAGCCACTTCTCTTACTACAAAAGGCCAAAACAGCAGACTTAATTATTGCCTATTTAACCTAAGGATTTTGCCAATTTGATTCTGCTGCCATAGTTCCTATTTTGTCAAGAAATGTAAACAACTACTTGATATGATTCATAATTTTTAAAAATTTTACAAAGCTCCTTCATGTTTGTCACCAAAATAGTACATTTGAGAGAGGTTTGTAAAACCATCAACCTGGGCTGAGGTCCTGGCAGGCGGTTCCCAGGAGCATCCCTCGTGTTGATAAGGCCAAAGCCGCGGCTCGTTCTCGGCGCCGAGGGGACCCCTGTCCCCCCACCCTCGGCTGCCCTGCTGCGCACACAGGGGTGGGGGTGGGGCTGGGGCTGGGGCTGGGAAGGGAGAGGAAGATGCCCTGAATGCCAGGCTCTGTGGCCCTCAGCTTATAAATGCAGGTCCAGGGTGGGGGGTGGCAGAGACCTCGGGTGGCTTGGAGAAAGTCTTTTATTTCTCAGTGAAATAAAAATAAAGTTGCAGTGAGAGCTGTTGCTGTGATGTGTCTGAGTCACTTTAGGGAAACTGCCAAGTCCCTCTCCTCTCCGCTTCCTACCTGGACAGAGCCTGCTTTTCTTCATGCGCACACACACGCACACACACACAACTGCAGGAAGAAAAAATCCAAACGATTGCCAAACCTCAAGGTCTGTCCGCAGAGAGGGAGGAGGGGGGGGGGGCTTGGAGGACACCCCTCTTGCTAGCTTGTCGCCATTGTGGCTTCCCAGTGCTGGGAGGCGGTACAGATCTGCTCGTTCACACCAGGGAGCAGCAAGAAGTGTGCTGAGCGGGTGACAGAGCCGGGGGAAGGGGGCCCCTGACGCGAGGTCCTGTGCTCGGAGAGCTGCCTCCTGGTGGGGGTGGTCACCCGGAAATGCTTAGTGGGACCTGACCGAGGTGAACCCCACATTCCCCCGGGTGCAGAGCACATTCCCAGAACTAGAAAACCTTTCAAAAACCTCATTCATTTTCTTTGCCCAAATCACCACTGGAAATGTGCCGTCAGTGCTTTTGGCCCGAAGTGCCTGTTTTCCTGTGAGTTTTGCTCTCCTGAGATGGGGTGGGGGAGGGCTCAGCAGAGCCAGTGCTTCTGGTGAGGTAAAAGGGGTTGGAGGGCAGGAAGGTGAAGGCCACGGATCTGTTAAAACATTCACAGTATCAGATAGAGCTGAGCAACTTCTTACATCTTTGATCTAAGAATCTCCAAAAAGCAAGGCCAGGAGGGAGGAAGGAAAAGCAACACCACATTCTTAGCAGAGGTCTCTGCCCCCCCCCCCCCCCCCCCCCCCCCCCGCCCTCCACAGAGCTACAGGGACCCTCTCCCAGGCTGATGAGGGCAGCGCCCTGGCCAACATTCTTGTAAAGTCACATCCTTGGCTCTGAGGAAGGGCTGGTTTTTAAAGTTCTGTCACCCAAAGGGTATAAAACGGGAGGGCGGGCAGCCCCATGCAGTGGCAGCCCCACGCAGTGGACAGAGTCCTTGGAGGCTTTCCAGCAGAAACCTGTGGACCCTGCCAGCATCCAGGTTGGAAATAAGTGGGGAGAGGCTGGGTTGAAGGGGTTACAAACCACCCCATAAAAACCAAAAATCTCTTTAAAAAGAGTTCGCAGAGTGAAAAGTTGAACAGTTCTAGTATCACAATATAGAAAAAGGTATTCAAAAGGTCAGTGATGTCTAAAGACTGTTGGTATAAACTCCAAATAGAAAATGAAATTAATTTTCTGGTGGTTTAGAACCTTCAAAGTCTGAAATCTGACTATTGCAGGTTAGCTTCTTTATCATTTCTCTGGTTTTTCTCTTGGATGGGAGACGGGCAGGGAGTCGGGGGGTAAGTGATTCCTAGAGGAAAGAAAAGCAAAGTTGATCAATCCTGCAGGGAGACTCACCCAGTCCCATCACCACGTTCTTGTGGCCACAGTAATAATCGAGGCCTGAGCGGTTTGACAGGACCCAGTCCTGACTGGCGATGGATAGCATCTTCAAGCCATTTGTAAATTGCTTTTAGGCATGCATTTATCTGGATCCCCGTCTCTCAAAAAACAGCTACCCTGCTTCCAACTCTCCAGTCTGCTGCGAGCCCATCAGTCATTTCTTCCCTGGCCCCACCCCTCCGTTGCCAGGCAGCCTGGCCCTGCCTTGCTTGGTTTTGTTCTTTGGCTCGTCTCTGTGAGAGCAGAGAGCAGAGCAGCAGAGAGGAGAAAGGGGAGGTGCGCAAAGTGGAGAGGCAGGAGGCTGCCTGAAGGCTCAGGAGGTGGGTGGGGTTTGCTCCCACATTTGGGGTACCTCCTCCAGCCCATCACTGAGGCACCGCTAAGGGCGGGAGGACACAGACCCAGCTGCTTTAGTTGGAGCCGAATACGTAATAACCTCCTGTGTCGCCCTCACCAACCCCTCCTCTGCCTTCACTGTGCCAAGCTCTGGGGTGGATGCCTCTGGGGGGATGGCTCCCAGCGTGGCCAGTGGTCTGGCAGTGCTCCGAGGCTGGGAGAGGGAGCCCCTCGCCATAGCGAGAACAGCGCCCACCTGAGCTCATTCCTCAGAGATTTCCGTCTCCTGATGGACGACCACCTTGGTCACGGACATGTCTGGGTGCTGCTCCTTGGCCTCCTTGATGGCCTGCACAAGGACCTGTGGAGGACAGAGAGGACAGCGTCAGGCAGGAAGCAGCTTGGCTGGTGAGATGGGGTCACAGGACAGCCTCTTCCTGGCAAATTCAATCCTGTCTGCAGCACCAGGCAGCATTCAGGATAAGCCAAGCTGATAATGACCTTCCTTCTCCACTCTCCTGCACAGGGAGGCTCCCGGACTAAAGGCACAAAAGCGGGAAGGTCAGAGCATCTTTAAGGAATCCAGAGGGACTTCAGGGGGGAAGGCTGCACCTGCTGGGTGGGTCTGGGAGGATCCACTCAGAAGTGAGTCTAAAGGACAAAGGAAAATCTGTGTTCAGGTAGCTGGGAAGTTCCGAACAGGAGGGGAATGAAGACGCTGCTGCCAAAAGGAAGAGGCGGCTTTGGCTGAAGCAGGGAGAGGAGAGGAAGAGCGGCTTCCATGCCATGCACTAGCCCCACAGGACTTATTATAGTTAATCTCCCAACAACCCAGAGCACGGGCGGAATCACTGTTTCCCTTTTATACACAAGGAGCTGAGGGTCAGGGGGGAAGGTGCCTAATGTTTCACAGCAAGTAACGCAACAGGCGTTTTAACTCCAGTCCATTGGACTCTCCTCTTTCCCACAGCGTTTCAGATGGGGGCTGTTTTAGCACCTGGAGGGGTTTTGCTCATTTCAGTAAACTAGAGGGAGCAGAGGGAAAGAAGAGCAATGAAGCCACTACTCTCTTTGGGCTGCAAGTGTCTGAGCCTTTAGCTTTTCTCAGACAAGTGCCCTTCCCCCCCATTAAAAAGGACTCTAGCTAGATCTATCTGACCAGCTGACCGAGGCTCTTAAGAACCCTCTCTAAGCCTGCCTGGTGTAGCTCAGTGGCTGGCCATCGACCCATGAACCAAGAGGTCCCAGGTTTGATTTCTGGTCAGGGCGCACACCGGGGTTGCGGGCTCAATCCCCAGGAGGGATTGTGCAGGAGGCAGCTGATGGACATTTCTCTCATGCATTGATGTTCCCCTCTCTCTCTCCCTCTCCCTTCTTCTCTGTCTAAAAATCAATTTTATATATATATATACATATATATAATTTTTATTTTATTTTTTAAAGAACCATCTCTAAGCCTTGGCTGGTGTGGCTCTGTTGGATGAGCATCATTGATGCACCAAAAGGTTGCCAGTTTTATTCCCAGTCAGAGCACATGTCTGGGGTTGTAGGGGGCTTGTGGGAGGCAGGCAATTGGTGTTTCTCTCTCAATTGATGTTTCTCTCTCTCCCTCCCCCACCCCCCCTAAAAATAAATAAATATATTTTTAAAAGAACCATCTCTAAGAAGGAGGAACAGGGGAAGAAGGTCTCCTTTTTTTGGTCAATCCTCACCCTCCTTGACCTCTTCTTGCTCAACTCGTCTGCTCGTGCTTCAAGGCCCAGCCCAGCCCTCTCTTTGGTTTCTCTGGCCTTCACCTCCCTCCCTACGAAAGCCTGCATCACACACCTTCTCCCGAACGGGCCTCCTTAATGTGCTCTCCACCATCCATCCAGGGCCCTCAGTACCCGGAGAACGTGGCACCCTGCGCATCTCTCTGAGCTACCAGGTGAGCCTGCCCCTTTGTCATAACAGCCCTGAAGAACCCTCCGATTCTCTTCATTCTACAGACAGAGGAGCTACATCTCAGAGACTAACATCATCTGCTCAAGGACGTACACCCATGCGCTATGGAGTCAGGATTCACGCAGGTCTGTCTCACTCTGAACTCCACGCACTTTCTCTGCTCGCCACTCTTGCTGTCCAGCACAGACTGAGCGAGCAGAGTGAGGGCCCAGATCCCATGAGACTGAGGAGGGGGTGCAGCTGTGATGCAGCAGGAGCCGCTGAGCTGGGGCAGACAGGCTGCAAGGCCTCTTGCCCAGCATTCGTAGCTGTCTCAAGCCTGCTTCCCAGGGAACAGCCAGCACTCCGCTCAGGTTTTCTTCATTTTTTAAGGCACTCAGCGTATTAGCAGAGAGGCCACAGCATCACTGCTCCAACGCTCCTGTCAGTGATTCCAGAAGCATCTGCATGCAGTGTCTTCCACCCCCTCTTCTCTGCAGCATTAGTTCTAACCTCACTGGCAGAGAATTGGGAACATTATTCCTGACCTTATTATTTGCTAATTGCTTGTAGCACACAATTAGCACCTAATTAACATAAAAACATAGAATTTAGTTCTCAGAAAGGCCCAGAAATTATCTAGATCAACGTACTTTTTTTAGGAGAAGGAAAAAAATCAGAGGTAAAGTGATTCGCTCAAGGTCACACAGTAAGTCAGGGATAGATCTAGGGCAGAAATTGCATCCCATCTATGCCCCCCTAGTTGCCTCCTCAGCTATGACAGCCCTGA